TGGGAAAATAGCTTTTTACTCCATCCTAAATTTGTGATAAACTAGTTCCTAGAGAGGGAAAACGGTGCATGTAGTTTTTATCCGAGTGTCAGGAGCCCCTGAAAAGCACCTCAGAGAGATGATTCGGAAAGTCATCGTATATAAATGTGTTTTTAATGATTCCATGAAAGGATGTTTTGGCTAAAATCGATTTCTATTGACTATTAAAAAGCTGCACTGACAGAAATAAGAAATAAGTGTGCTGCCATCTTTCCCAGCTCTGTGAGCAGGGATGGGAATCTGGTGAGTCCAGAGACGCACTGAAAGACTGAGGGATCGAGAGAAACAATATTTGAATGAAATATACTAGAAACAAAGTAATGCAAAAATTCATGATGAACAAAAAGTAAAAATTAAGAAAAAAGACAAGACTTATTACCGAGCTTTCTTTTGCCTCAGGCTCCCATGTGGCTGGCAAGAATCATCATTACCCATCTCATCTTTATTTAAAATGTCGACAGCCCTCACTTACCTGCTCTAATCTCAGTCAAGGTGAGGAACACATCCTCTTTAACTTTTTTGGTGGCCTTTCCATGTGAAGCATAGCATCTTTTACTAGTAGGAACCATTCAGTGTTGGATGAGGATGATGAAGGTTGTGGTGACGTTCTAAAAACCAATGAATGATTTCAAACCCAGGCCACCCTTTCTGACTCATCTTTTAAAATCCCTACGGATGCACATCACCAAAGCATCTCTAAAACTGTGCTTGATTTACTTTGGTAGCAAATTCATAGGGGTTCAAGAAGATGATGATGTCTTCAGGTGCAAATAGTTTGTCTCGGCAAACTTCACCCCAGAAATCTCTCTCCATTTTATTTGTGCCTTTAACCATGTAGTTTTATATGGTCTCCCTGAGGAAATCATTGAGCTATCCTGAATAACTTCAGTTTGAAATACAGACATAATCTGTTCCTATGTAATCTGTATATACAAAAAGGGGTTATCGAAGTCCCATTTGCTGCCGTTGGCCTGAGTCAGTAGGGACTACCACATCAGCGACACCAAGAGAGCAGTGATCATTTGGGTTGTTTTCAGAAATGACATTTTGCAATGAGGAGAAAGAAAGGCCTGCTATCTTGCCTCATGCCACAGAATGTTCTAGGCTTCCCATTACTAAAAAAAAAAAAAAAAAAAAATAGCATCTGAGATCTCCTAGATATGAATAATGTTTGCCTGTGTGAGCAGGGATGACTTTTTTTTCCCCCTCTAATTAAACTCCCATGACACTCAAGCTGCTTTGGAGTTGGTCTTACTCAGAGAATAATTTTTTCTCTCCTCCTCCTCTTCCTCCTCCCTTGCCAGTTTGTAGAGAGCTTCCCAGAACCCCACTCCAAATCTCAGAAATGTCAGCAGCCTCTTTCAAACCACATGGAGAGGGTGGGGAGCTAGATAGCAGGAAGGCCAGATAAGATGTGAGTGCTTCTCTGACCCTGTGTGGATCATGTGGTTCCCTAGAGCAGTTTTCAAAGAAAGGAATTAAATTTACATGGTTACAACCCAGTTGACAAGCTTCCCAATAAGGAAAGCCATCTAGTTACTAATTTTTGTTTCGGACTATTCTTTTCGAGGAAAGCGTTTGCCTATTACCCTAAAATACGTAAAACAATAGCAAGTATGCTCTTTTCAAAACACTATTGATCAGTTGATGTCGCTATAGCCCTAACCATTATTTCCTGAATAAATCATGACTTTAGGATGTTTGAATTCCAATCCATACACCTTTCCAAACCAGGTGCCAAACCTGCAGAGCCAGTCTGCAAAGGGAAGGGGACCCGAAGGCTAGCCAGAGACAGCCTGGTGGCGGAAGGGCTCAGGAGAATGAGTGGCTGTGACTAGAAATCGAATATGGGTAAGGAGCAAACCTCTCTCTTTGTCCAAAGGAGTGATCACATGTTGACAGCTGGAATTTACATGGCTCCTTATTCAATAAACTAGCGCCTTCCCTGCATTCCAACATCAGCCGCATAATAGTGGTACAGAAGCAAACTGACACATTACACACGGTCCAGCTGGCCCGTCCACTCTGCACGGACCCCTCCTCCTCCTCCTCCTCTTCAGTCTTCATCTCCCTCCCACGTGAGCTCTCGCTGGTGCAAGACCTAAGCACACACTCTTGGGTGCTCCCTAAATTAGGGGTGCTTGATTTCCTGTCCTGTCAGATGCTTGTCAGCATGTAGGATAGTAATTCTACATTAAAGATGAAAAACAAATAAACAGACCCAACAAAACCAGGACAGATAAAAACCCAAACATATCCCTTCTACTTTGTTCTCAGCCACCGCCCACCCCCCAACAAAAAAGGAGCTGTATGTGATCAACGTTTCCCATATCAAAAATCTTGACATCTAAACCCTTTCTTTACTTTGGCTGCGTGTGGCTTTCTTTGTGAACTTGAACACAAAGGGAATGTGACCTGTGGAGTAGCCAGTGTTATAATTAGTGAGGATTGTTTTTATTGCCCGTGGTACAAAAATAGTCATCTGAAAGAGAAAAAGGTAACATTCCACCAAGATCGGATAATATGCAATGCTTTTTTTGAGTGTATATATTTTCCCCATAATTTTGGCAACACCATACACTCCTTGGTTAAGAGCTTCCATTAAGAATCCCATTAAGAATTTTTTCCAGAAGGGATGCTGTAGTGGGAACAATGTCTGTTTATCGCGGTACTGTATATTGTTCAGCAGAGCACAGCAATGCCCGTAAAACGTGTATGAAATGATCCTGTGGCTTGTAAAAGAGTTCATTCCGTATAGAAGTTTTCTTGTTTAAAATATACATCTTACTGATTATGAAGAAACTCATTAGTACTTCTGCAATACACTATGTCCTTAAAAGTATGGGAAAGAGAGAGAGAAGAAAGCTTTATGTATTATGAAGCAGTCATTAAACTTTAATCTCTACCACTAGGGGGCAGAACGAAGTTCTTTTCTAAACTGACTGCTAGGCAATCAACCATCACATCATTGAAATATTGAAGGCACTTCAAAAAGACTCAGATGTTTAACTATTGTGCTAGTGATCATACATTCATATTGGGCTGCAGGCCAAAAGAGAGAAGAAAAAAAAAAAGCCAGAGATTTGCAGCTGAAAAGCTATAAAGTGGTGAATTTTACCTTAGAGCAAAACCATCTTCAGTGACAAATTTCAAAGGCCATATGTATGCGATTTTCATGAAAAGCAGACGACCCTAAATTTCTTTGTTTAACTGGAAGCGATCTTCCTCACAGAATGAGCAGGTTCTTTTCTGCCATTCCCCTTGTTTATTGTGCTGTTACAAATTTCACTTTCCTTTCTAGTACCGCAATCGGGATTCTAGAAATGCTGTTTAATGCCAGTGGGCATTTCATTAACACTGCCCCCTCCAGCATCTTCAAGGGTATCACCTCAGGGGCAAAATTGCCGATTGGAGAACATTTAGAGTATTCTGATAAAATAGTGTGGGGATCCCCCCCCCTACATTAAAGCCTCCAAACCAACCTTTATTCTATGGTAACAGCTCGATGTTCCCAATCAAACTTTGCCAAGACAGGACATTATGATTTTCTTCCCCATGTAGTTAAAACGCTAAAAGTGATAAATCAGAGGATTATGAACGTTATTTCTCCTAAGAACAGAGCTTCAATTCATAGGACCTGTTTGGAGCGTTTGCCTTATTTAGACCTGATAGCCAGCTATTTCTCAGATACTTTAGAATATTAACACACCGAGACATAACCCATGGCAGGTTTTCTAAGCTAATAAACTGCAGGAAGAGAATTGGGGTCGTTTGCAGGGTCCACCTGTCAGCTGGACATTCAGAGAGTTTGCAAATTCAAATTCCGATCAATTCTGTTGTTCTAAATACAGGCAAATTGAGCTCGGTTCCCATTTTCACTAAATTGCGCAGTCCCAGGAAAGCTGGAAAAGTCCCAAGTGAAGTGCTGAGCTGGGCATCTCCCCTGCCCCCACCTTGTTTTCAAAGCACAGGCCAGTTTTGCAAAGAGAGATAGAGCTGAAAGGAGTCACATCTTCCTTTTCACATCAGGAGTGTTACTTGATACGTATCAATATTTCCTGTCAGCTCCAACAAAGCAAAATCTCGGGCCTTATGGTATCCTGAGATGGCTAAATATCGTTTGCTTAAGTCAGCGTGTTCCAGACCTTTTATGTGGCCTGACAGTTGATTGGGAGAAGGCCCACTAACTTTCTTAAAATGTGCAGTCATCCGTTTGGCGGCCGGCTCCGGGGGTTCCACATGAAATCCTCTTTAGATAAATTCATACTTGCTCAGGGTGATTAGCCTTCCAGCTTGGTTGGCTCACTTGTCTTTAAAAGCAGGACATTCGTGATCAATATGGGGTTGAGTTGAGGGTTGTTCTCTATCCTCTATTAACCACCTCTGCTGTTTCTCCCAAAGCTGGTGAAGGGAGATGCAACTGAAGAAGAAGGGAAAAAAAAAGAAGAGAAAAGAAAAGAAAAAAAAGAAAAGAAAGGAAGAAGGAAAAGAAAAGAAACTCTCCCCCCACCCCCAAACATGACAGGCTGAAGTTGACAACCTAATCCTTCAGGCTTGTCTTACTTACTGAAAGGCTCAAGTAATGTCAAAGAAACCATCTGATAACAGTCTTCATGCCAAACCTAACAGCTTTATTGCAACAAGAAACTTTCACATTAAATTTCCATGTGTTTTCTCTCCACACTCCTTAACTTCACTGCCCACTCCCCGCCACCCCTGCCCCCCCCATTTTTTTTTCCAAAGAAAGATAAGGCTTCCCTGCTTCAAAAACCAAACAGAAACTGCTACGGAGGGCCATTTGGGGAGGTGGTCAAATTAGTGGATTATTATTACCTTGGGGATGTTGGAAATCAAGTTTGTTATTGGCAGTTCCTATTTCTGTCAGAGTCATTAATAGCGAAAATTTAAAGGGTGTTGGTCAATCAACAGAATGTTGTTTTCTTAAGTGGGTTAACTGTTATTTGTCTGTCTGTCTGTCTTCCTTTTTTTTTTTTTGCTGCTCTTACCTGCCCCCAAGCTCACCTCTAATTTGACTCTAAGAAACAAACTGAGGGTTCTAGAGGGGAGGGGAAAAAAAAAAAAGAAATAGCCAATTTTCACAGAAAACAGGGAGAACATTTTTTTTCCTGCAAATCTAGACATGTGGACTACAAGAGGGGATGGGTGGGGTAGGAGTCTCTGTCTGAGAAATCTTTGAGAAAATAGTATCAAATTGTTAAGTGTACCAGAATATATGAGAAATACAAACAGGGCATAACATTATGGCAGCTCATTCTCTGTGTAAGCTCTGGATGTTCTGGAGAGAGTATTTTCAGTAAAATACAGATCCTTCTGTGCTTACACTTGGTGACATTCTTGCTGGGACAGTTTTACATTTTGAAGCTAAAGAATTCATATAAGAATTTTAAAGTCCATGGGGTTTTGTTTTTTTTTGTTTTTTTTGGTGTTTTTGTTGTTGCCTCTGAGCCTGGTCTTAACTTCTCCAATTTCTGAAACTAGTTTAAACGAAAACAAAACAAAACAAACAAACAGACAAAAAACAGACAACAACCTTGCAAGGAACTCGGAGTAAATAAACAGTCTTTTTCTCTGTTAAGTAAAATATTTCCCTAAGGTAAGTTACTTTTCCAAGGGAATTACAGTATATGTCAATGTTGAATAGTAGGTGTTTTCTACCAGTCTGATTGATGTTTAGGAAAAAAACAGATTCTTGAAAATTAGCCTATTGTATAATTATGTGGCTGATGGAACAGCAAAGTGTCTTAGCTAAAAGTCTCTTAAAAAAAAAAAAAAAAAAAGATTTTACTCCATCCCTGCAAAGGTTTGCTGATTTAATGGTGTTAGCCCTGGGATCTGCATTACTGGTCAAGTGGTTGAATTGATTGAGGGCAGGCAGGGATAGAGATTTCCAGCTAAACAAACACTCGCCAAGGACTCATCAGCTGGTCCCCTGGCTTGCAAATATGTGAGCCCCCAAAATGGTACTTTTCAGTAAGTTCTCTCACAGCATTTTCCTTGGCTGTTTTTGAAAACTGTATCCACGAGTGCCATCACATCTCTAATAAACTGCACTGTGAGCCGCAGAACCTTCCCAGATATTCTGCCGAGTTTCTTGTATTTTCCACATTTCTATATTTAAAACAAATTCCTACCCACCCGCCCCCTCGTTGAATTTGGGGAAACACAAATAACTCATAAGCTTTGCACCAAAATGAGTTTGTTTTGCTTTCATGTCTAGTATTGCTTTTGAAATTGTTCAGAAGTACAGAAAAGAGAAGGCTGCTCGTTTTAGCTTTAAACACCAGCTACAAACATGTTGTCTTCCTTTCCATTCGTTCTAGGTTTGATTTCACCTCAAATCAAGACACTCTGTCCTTTGGGTTTTATAATGATACCATATATGAAATAAACTCACATATATATGAAATAAACCTACACATGATATAACCCTATGCCTATATCACAGAGATAGGTAGATTTCATATGTTTATTTATAGAATATACTTATTGCTAAGTATATACTTATTGATAAGAAATACACCCATTAGAAAAAGAATGCCAAGTATGTGAAATCTGAGAATTCTGACAAGGGGGGCAGTTTCTGCTATGTCCATTTCACAGATGGGGAAATCGAGTGAGCTGAGCGCTTGGCTAGAAGATTTCCCATGGGGTGTTCAAGTTAGCAGTCTGGGGAGCTGTTCCCATCAGGAAACTTACATAAATGCCACAATTCCCAGGAAAGGCATCCAAACCGTTTCATCCAAGGTGCGTGGGGGAGGTAGGGGCCGGGAAAGAAACACGCACACTATGGGGGCCTCTCTTCCTGAGAGGCCCCTGGGAGAAAGAGCCCCAGGCAGGTATGCTCCTGTTTTTAACAGAAAACCCTGTGCTGGAGCTCAGAACTTGCAGGCTGCTCGAAGCAGCAAGACAGATTATTTCAGCTCTCTCCCTGCTTGGAAAGTGTGTTTGCAAGAGCATCCTCATAGCTGCAATAATAAACATCTCCAGCTGCAAGAGCTCTGCTAAACAAGCCTGGGCAAGGCCATCCGAATTCCTTTCATTTGACCATCTTAGATTCCCCCTGCAAGAGGCGAGTCCCAGAGCCCTGCAAATGTCCCCCAGCCCTGGCGCAGGCAGCCCTGCGCGTCCCCAGGAACACACGCCCTCCCCCATCCCGCCTCTCCACTTTTGTTTTATTTACGAATATGTTGCCAGAATTCCAATGAGTTATCTATTCTGTGGCCCCGTCATTTTCCCACCGAGGCCTTGTCGCCGGCTGACTCAGGGTCCAGTCGCAACAGTGAGAAGAAAAGAGGACAGCGAAAGAATTCTTTTCAACTTTTTTTTATGTTTCACTCATTTCTCCCTCTGTCTCCCCCCAGGCCTCCTCCCCTCCGCTGCTCCCTCCCTCCCCCAGCCTCCTCTTCTCTCCCTTACCCCCTTTATGTTACACGGATCGCTCAAATTGAAGCTCAGGAGGGTCCTATAGGGAATGCACAGGATCCCTGGGAGAAAAAAGCCCCCAACAAGCTATACACCAGATGTATAACGTTATATGGTCAAACTGGCAAACACAAAAGCTAAAAAACAAAAGGCGTGAATTAGGAGAGGCATTCAAAAGCGTGTTTTCAAAACAGCCCGGCCAAGAGCCTGGATCCCCCTCCTGAGACTAAATGCTTGAAAGAAAAGGTGCTAAAGAAAGAAAGGAAAAGAAAAAAAAGCCCATTTTTCTAATTAGCTGAGGCCTAACAGGCACTGAATTTCGCAACTAGTTCTCGTCAAGGGGATTGTGGTTTGTGAAACTGAAAAATATGCTTTTGAAACCTGGGATGGAGGCCTTTCCTCTGACCAAAGCTCCACTCGGTCCTCGGACTTTTTTTTTTTTTTTCCTCTCTCTCTACCCCCTCACTTTTTGGGTTCCGCCTTGCTTCCCCGGTCGATCCCTTTTTCACACCCTTCCCCCCAAGTACAAATATTATTTAGGTTTAGAAAGAGAACAGGAGGGAAAGCCACAATAGTCCTCCCCGCCCCTTCTTTCTGCTTCTTTCTGTCTCCTTGGCAGGGCACTCTCCATGCCAGCAACAGTCCTGAGTTGCTATGAATCTCATTCCAAAGCACCGGGCGCCCAGAAACCCGAAGGGGGAAGAAAAGGTGTCACTGCAGACTGAGGGTGTGTGTGTGTGTGTGTGTGTGTGTAGTGTTTTCTGTAAATGCCAGGATTAAGATGAAAAACTCTCCACCACTGTGAATTTAGATATTTGGAGGATGATCTCTCACTGTGAGGGTTTTTCAAATGCAACAAGGCAGTGTTTTCCAAGCTGCAAGGTGCATTCCCCAGCAAACAGCTTTGCTTCCTTTGCCCTGACAAAAGACACACAGGATTTGAATTAAAAAAAAAAAAAAAAATTAAAGTGAACAAAACCAGTGTCATGGCCAGAGATGTATGGGTCCTCTGGTGCCTGACAAATTATGAACTTGCGTTCTTCAGTGCCATTTCTAATAAGAAAATGAAACAGAACTCCGGGCTAAGAGTTGGTGGGTAGCCTGCGTTTGGGAGGGAGGCAATTTTAATTGCTGCTCTGTCTGGCTTGGATGCCTGTGGTCCTGCGTGGTGTGTTTTAGTAACACATGCTTGTTCTAATGAATTAGCCTTATTAGGGGCTCCTCATATTCTTTCATAAAGAGCAGAGCTATTCTGAACTTCTGAATGCAACAGTCTCTTGATATTCTCCCCCTGAAAGCTGGATGTGGGATTGTACTTCCTACCCCTGTATTTCCAGTAAGTCTCATATTTTTTCACGGCGGAAGCATGAGCAGCATAAGGGGACACTACTGAGCTTGCAGGTACCAGCCATGGCCGGACTGGACCCAGGGCCATCCAGGACGCTTGCAAACATTCTGATGCTAAAAATGTATTTGCGCGCACAGCTGAACAATCAGGATTTTTGTTCAGTCACCTCCTGGCACATTCTTGTGATAAACTCGGTGGCATTGGATAAAACAGATTCATTAACTTTGATTAACCTTCTTTAACTAGAGTTAAAAACCTGCTGTAGGCAGCTCAGCTACCAATGCGGCTTGAAGATACTTTATCATGTTTAAGACCCAATTACTGTTGCACTGAATAAGAATAAAACATCACAATAAAATGTGGAGCAAACAGCCACTCTAACGTGCACGGCAAATAATCATTAATTTATAACAGCAACTTTCCCATTTCTATGGTTTTTCTGATGGCTGCACTTAATTCAAGTTGAGTACTCTGGAATCTGATGTTGATATGAGAAACTGCTTCTGCTCATTGACCATTGGATTCTTCTCTTTTCTTTTCTTTCTTTTCTTTTCTTTTTCTTTCTTTCTTTCTTTTCTTTCTTCTTCTTCTTCTTCTCCTTCCTTCCTTCCTTCCTTCCTCTAATAGTTTTAGTTTGAAATCTCAGAAGTCTCCTTTAAAAGTTCAAAATAAAATAGTCAGAAAAGGGGAACAGAAGTCCAGAAAGGTTCTGTCTAACTAGGTCTAGGGAGACAGAGAGACTGGATCACAGTGTGATGGAACTTGAGGATTTTAGGACAATTTGTCAATAATTGAAAACATTGCTCGTTGGCAAATTTAAATATTAAAGGAGCGAGCCAGTAAAATCAGCATTGAGATCATGAGGACAAGTTCCCCATCATTGCACTGCAAGCTTTAAAGGAGCGAGAGCAATGTCCATTTTGTGCATCTCGTGTGGAAATAGAAGCAGGAGGATAAGCCCAGCAAACGACGGGTTAATTTTGGACAGGATTTGACTGAACCGGGAATAATGAACAGTGAGATACTGCAGCTTTCAGGCAAAACAGAGTAACAACAATTAAAAAAAGAGAGAGAGAGGGGGAATAAAGGGTGAAAACAATCTCCAGTTAACTAACAAGAGCAGTGCAGTGTTCGAAACAGATAAAACAGAGGCCACCGGGAACGCGGCTC